AAGAGAATTGAAATATGTATGTGTATATATAGAGTATATATTAATGATGATGCTGCTGATGATGATGATGATGTAACATAAAAGACACAGTCGAGGCAAATTCCTTTCTGATTTTACATTTTCTTTGATCCAATTAATCACCCCGTTCATTTATATAAAATTATATGTCGATACAGTCGACGATGATAAGTCGCAGCACAACAGTTTATACAAGAAATCCTTTTTTGTSTATGTGCATGTGTATTATTGTGGGGTGCAAAATAGACATATAAGTGTTTAATATAATAATGTTAGTTGYACTATTGTTGAATTCTTCTTATCAATCTTGATAATAATGATTAGGCATTTCTAGTCAAATTATTTACCTATCCTGTTAAATGAATCAGTTTATCAATCAGTTTGATATAGGTTTGTTTTTTACAAATRCAAGATTGCAATGCTTACCTTTTGACAGATTCTTGTCTTGATTATTTTTTGTTACTGCAGCTGCATTTTATTTACATCATATTATAGAATAAAACTCTTGTTCGGATGACATAATCAATACAAATCTTCTAATCGTTAGCCGTAAGAAAATGAAATATATATCCATTGATCTAATGGTGTAATGGACTCCCTTTTTTTTGAGTATAACATTCTTGGATTGGAATTTAAAATATAGATCTGCATGCTGATCTGATCTAAAAATATTTTTAAAAGTAGTTTATATATATATCAAAATAAGTTTGAAGAGAGAGAATGTTTAGATAATGCATAAAGTTAAAAGACAAAATAATCCATATATTTTAATAATTAGAAGAATTTTGTATAAAAAAAATATATACTTTACTTACTAGTATTTGGTAAAATAATTTGATAAAGAAAACATCTGAAATTCATCTGTATTCTCGGATTTAATAAAGAAAATTATTTTTCTTAGGTTATGACGTAATACTGTCCCACAGCAATACATCCAATTTAACTATTTTCATCCACAATTGGCGATCCCTAAAGAAAGAATTTGAAACGAATTACTATAAATAAAAAATATTATTCACTTGATTATTGCATCATTAAGGATTTTTTTAATTAAATACTTTACACTGCACATAGCCTGTATTTACGATATTCGACGTACATTGACAGGTAGCCATCTTGATTTTTTCCTAGCGATGTGTTATTTTTCGTCTAGATGGCGAAACATATTCTACCTGTCGGTAACTGAAGTAAAAGTTACTAGCGTTAGATAGCGACACATATTTTACTAGTCGGTAATAAAGTACAGATTTCCTAATATATTTTTATTAATTGATTAAAAATTAATGCAACCTAAATCATTTTTTATATGATAATAATAAATGTATCCTAACTAATATTATAATATTTACTTCTTTTTCAAATAAGATTATTATTTTTATCTCTGAACATATTATTGTCTAGAATTTTTTTTTAAATTATTAAGAACAGTTTTGCCATTCATCGTTTCGTACATGTTTCGTTATCTAAATGGGAAAAAGCGAACTATTTATGTTAACGTAAGTCTTTGCAACTAGATGGTACCAAAAGTTTTGTTTAGTTGTATCACTGCTCACTAATACCACTAGAATAAAGATATACAAAATGATTAATGTATATAGAAAACTTTATTGATAAATCTGTATCTAATATGTATAACAAGTAGTTAAATTCAGTCTTGGAACACGTGGTGAATACAATGCGTTGTGTGTCGTGTAGTATCTATATGCCAATAATTATTTTTCTTTTTGTTTTACATGTTGTTGGTCTGTTTTATCATTTGAGGTATAGTTATATATGCGGCCTGCAGAGGCGTCACTGTAGATACGTGTCCGCCACAGTTTCTGCTTGGTGAAATGCACTCTAGTAAAATAAGTATGATCACCTGTCAATTTCCTAACCTGTATGTATTGTAAACTATCTAGTTTATACTAATTAAAATGAATATAATATTAACGTGAATAATATTCTATTAAAAAATTGTAATGTTGTTTTATATACACTAAGAAGTTTTGAGTTTAACATTAAATATGTATAAAATTACAAAGAATGTAATTATCTGTAAATTGCACATCTTTGTCATTTCTTTTTAGAAGTTTGTTTTTATATCTTTTTACTTAAAATGAACGGATTTTATAACTCTTATTGTACATTAAGTGCTCTATATTTTTTACGTTAATAATAGATTTTCGAGTTAGAAATCGAGAATCTAAGAAATGTAATCTAAACAATGTCTTTTTCTAAAAAAATGTTAAATCAAATCGTTATAATGGTAAATTCTATTTATTAGGTAAATTATTTCCTTTATGCACACGAGCAATATTTGAAAAGTCATATAAACAACATTAAATAAAAATATTTTTTTATAGGATAATGACTCAGTTTAACGGAGAATTTCAAGGAAAACGATACTTCTAATCTAAATTCCGTGCTTTTAAATAACAATGCACATTTTCTTCAATTTATTAACAATTTTTTTAATAATCGGATGTACTCTGCTTACATTACAGAAAATTTTTACCCTCGAAGTTGTCACTGCGCAGATAAGTTAAAATAATTATATAAAAATAAAAAAGATGCTAAATTTCGAATGTTATAATCTTGATTTCTATTTATTACAGATAATATTTACGTTATGGGCATTTGCAACGTTTTGAAAATCACATAAACATTATTTAATAGAAGAAATATAAAGAATAGAAGAAATATCATAGAAGACAACGTGCCAGTCTGAAAGTGAATTTCGAGGAATACGGTATTCTGATCATATATTTGGTGTTTTTATTACTATATTTGCGATATAAATATCTGAATAAAAGGATATTATATAGAGTGTTATAGGGACTGGAATATTAACGAGATAGAAGATGTGAACTCTCGTGGAAGTAAATGGGACTTTGGTTAAATGTAAATGTATATTTCTACTGTCCATAGTTTTTATGTAAATATTTATACATACACATTATGGGATTGATATGGGCTGGGGTATTAACGATGCAGAAGTGATTAAGTTTCGTTAAAGCAATTTGAACAAGGATAAACATGTAGTATATATCATTAAATATATATATATATATATATATATATTAATTAAAAACCATCACAGAACCAGGTACAATGCACACTGTTTAATCACTAACCTTATGATAGGTATTAAAGAAAAACTTAATAATTAAAAGCATAATATAACTATTAATCCATACTGATATTAGACTTTTCATCCTCCAATGATTGCACACTAGAGGAACTTGTTATTTGACTTACCACTTTGTAACTGTTATTACGTACAACATGACATTTTAAAATTTAAATGGCGTATATTAATTAGCATATATATTAAATCACATCGTTATTGCATTAATGGGAAATTGAATATGCTCGGTCATATAATTGAAAGTAGTTACGTACATTTTTTGTGTTATAATATTACAGTTAAAAAAGGATTAAAGGGACATTTTTGTTATAATATTACGATCAAAGAATAGGTGAAATGATTTGCTTTTAAATTAGAGCGAAGTCAATAATTGTTTCCGGATCGGATTTGTTTTATTTTTTAAATAAAAAATTTAATTTTGTATTTGCAAGTTTCCCATGATTTTAATTGTGAACTATATTTGTTAACCAGAACGCGTCGTTTGAGTTATAATTTTCGCATATTTTGCAACATTTTAAAAATCCTTTGTGAAATAGTTTTGTTGTCTGTATACAATTTCTTTTAAATAACTGTTTTCTCTTTTATAAACGATCATTGATAAAAAGAAAGAGGAAGAAGAAAAAGTAAATAGAAAATACGAAATAAAACGTGTTTCACTTTTCTTTTTCTTATTCAATTAGAAATATCTTTCGACTATGTATATTAATAATCGTACACACATATTCCTTTCGTTCCTCCTATCTATAACTTTCCATTCTTGGCAAAAAGCCGTGTGTATGGACGTATATAGTCGTATACGAAGGAAAGTTATAGGCTTCATACGAGTTTATTTATTTATTCGATTGACTTTAATTCCAGTGAATTCAGTGCTCTTTGGAAATAGAATCACTACGTCTGATGTTTTCTTTTAGGAAGGAAGAAGGAAGGATGGAAAGATTGAAGATTACACTAATTAAGCCACTTTACAAGTATTAACTGACAAAGTAAGCTCTTGGAGTTTATAATACGTAAGAAATTTAAAGTGTATTATTTAAAACGTACAATAGTAAGAGGTAATACTACTTAAGTAATTAAATAAACCATAAGAAAATATAAAATCATTTGAAGACTATTAGAGAATTCGAGAAAGTTATAGTAAATATGTATACATAAATAATTGTGTATCGTACCGTTGCTATTTCTTACTCATGAATCTCATTAACAATAAGTTAGGATATTCGAGGAAGTATATAGAATGTATATGTACCTATGCGTAATCATATAGTTACTGTTCCGTAAGGCCTACGTATTAGAACGTATACCGTTCAGTTATTACGACACTGTCTGCAAAAGTTTTTCAATTCCACTATGGTATTAGCATGAGAACTTTCGATTGCGTTCGGTCCTTCCCGTTGCCTTTAGAAAGAGGCAATTGATAAATTAGACGAGAAAGTTAACAAGAACTGAATAGACGAAATATTTGATTTATGTATGCATCTGTTTAACATTGACACTTTCCAATATCCTACTCATTTTAAACGATTCACGACGTCATATATATATGTGGGTGTTGTGTAAAAGAAAGAGATAAGGAATGGTTGCTTTGTCAGGATGCGTGCGTCTAGCGTGAGGATGACGGAACGAGAGGCGACCGTTCGTTGTTGTTGTGTCGTCGAGCTACTGTTGTGTTTGTAATGTGTATGCGTGTGTGGCAATGAACAAGCATAAGCTTGTTGTATGACGTCATGATGGCCGAGG